TTCCCCCTCCCCCCACCCCTATTTTTTTTACTCGCACGCTATGGGATTATTCTGACGATACTTCCGCATTAATTTTTCTTTCGTTTCATCATCCTCATATTTTAATTTGCTTTTCGGACGCGAAATTACTACGTACGTAGTACCTGGGAAGATACCGTACTGGAATGATACTGGGACGATGACGAGATGGCCGACGTCCAGGCTGGAAACCGGCCGTGGCCCACAGTCCACTCTCTCGACGATACCTACCGAGTACCGGCAAGTCCTATCGCCGCGCCTCCGACCTACGATGCGGTCGTGTTGGCCATCCCGTCTTCCACAGTACAATATACAATATACAATATTTCCAGAGGCTCTTTCTGGAACCTCAACCGTCAACCGAGGTCAAGACGAGGTGTTTGTTGAGCGCCTCTTGCAGGTTTCGCCGAACCCTGCGTAGCGGTGGTCTACAACCCACAACTTTTCTCTCGTTTTTTGTTTGTCAGTGGCGAGATATTTTCGGATATTCGGCCTCCGATAAGAATATGATACATAACAATTTTTTTTTTTTTTTTTTTTTTTTCGCCAGAGGTTTCGTCCGAATGAAGGAAAAAAATAAATAAAGAGATGGTTTCTTCAAGGCCTCGTGGCCCGTCTGGGCGCAACGCCGAACTCCCCCAGCTGTGAGTAGCGCCTGCACAACACGTGAGTGCCCGATTCACCCGACAACAGGTCATTATTGTATCTGGAAAAGGATCTATGTTGCGGAAAGACCGACTTGCATTCAGCCGAATTTTGACCAGGCCAGACCAGTCGGACCTGAAGCAGATTCTTCTTGCTCGTCGGTACGGCCCGGGCCTTGGGAGAATAGGATTATTCAGTGACGTGAAATATGACAGAAAGCCCGAGACTCGAGGCTCTTACTCGACCTTTCATGGCTTGACAGCCGGCGATCGCCGCCCCCTCCTGGGGCTCCCTTCGATGGCCCTGCCCGGTGGCCGTACCGTTGATTGAGACGGCCACAAGTACCGATGGCTTCCTCGCCGGTACTCGTGGGCTTGCAAATCTCGAGCCAAACGGGGCACCGGCAACGGTAGTTGGACGTCAAATGTTGTAAGCACTTCCCCAGATTTCAGGCCATAGGTACCGGTAGATATAGCCAGCCAGGCCCTCCTAAGTACTCCGCTCTTCGCGAACCCGTCCCGCGGTGGAACTGGAGCCTGGGGCATCTTGCGACGCCGACGCCGACGTAGCACGAGCACCAGCACCGGCACCAGCACTGACGGCCCACACCCCCTCGGCACTTGGAATCGACCGATCGGATCTCAACCAATATCGGCATCTGGGAATAGCGTGACGGGCAGCGGGCAGCGGGCAGCGGCCAGCTTTCTCGATTCGATTCCATTCGATTCGTGAAGGAGCCGCTCGGCTCCGAGAGGAGAGAGGAGGACGGACGACGATGGCCCGCTTCCTCCTCGAGCGGATGCATACATACGGCCCGGCCTATATTCGCTGTATTTCTTTCGCTGAAGTATTCGGACGACGACCGGGCACGTGGGTTGCAACTTGCCCAAGTCCCATCCTCGTCACTGATCACCGAGGGCGACGTGACGGAGCTGCCGACCACACGTGTCGAGATAGCGGAGCGGTAGAGAAAGAATGGAGAGGGTCCGTACGCCGGTCTGTGCCAGATGCCGTGGTGGTGGAGCGCCAGGGATTCTTTTTTTCTTTCCGTTCCCCGGGGATTATGCAGCTTTTCCGTCGGACGCTGCTACTATCTACCGTACTGTATCTACCGTACTAGGTAGTATCTCTTGCTGTGCTCTGCTCAGCTCAGCTCGGCTCGGCTCAGTGGCTGTGGCTGCTGTGGCCCAGCGCGGCTAATTGCTCCCAGGGCTGTCCCAAGCTGGCCAAGAGCCGCCGCTGAAGATGATCATGGCCATGGCCGGACGGAGGCGTAACGAAGCGACATCCAATGACCCAATATCTGTCTTCTCCGACTCCGAAGATGCAGGAAGCTCGTTGCAGCCTGCATTGGTGATGTCCCGGCACTGGGTCTTTCATGCCCGTCCGTTCTTTTCTCCGTCTCGTTGCCGTTGCCGATCCCACCCATTGACACTGACAGCTACTTACGTACCGGACCTACTTACCTACTACTGTACTGTACTGTACTGTATTAGCTTCCCTCCGCGCCTCATCGGGGAATTTCCCAACACCCACTGGGGAGCCTGTCTCGACTCCCGTCCCCGTCCCGTCCCCGTCCCGTCCCGTCCCGTCCAGTCCCGTCCAGTCCAGTTCAGTCCAGTCCAGTCCGAGCCCTCTCGGCTCCCGAGTCTTGGAGCAGGTCTGAGTGTTCATGTCACCCCCGTCAACCGGGGAATACTTGGCGTGCTTACGTGCCTCCGGGAGGGAGTAGCTTGATGATCTGCATGCATAGCCAGGTACGGTACCATACCATACCATACCATACCATACCATACCGAGCCATACCGAGCCATACCGAGCCATACCGAGCCATACCACACCATCCCCTACCGTACGGAACGAGCTTTTAAGTAGCAATCCTTGAACCCCTCTACCCTAAGTACGATAATCACTACCCACTCGCTCACTTACTCACCCACCAACTCCTTCCCCACAAGAGCCAAACTCGTTCGTACGTATACGAGCGGACTCCACCGCGAGCAGAGCAAAACTGACAAGTCGAACAAGAAGAGAAAGAGGAAAATAAAAATAGAAATGGAAAGATGTATTGCGTTAGGCCGACGACCAGGCTCTCTCTCTCTCTCTCTCTCCGGGAAGGGGGAGATTGGATCACTGAGTAAGTAAGTAAGTACAGTTTGTGTCTCCCTAATAAGCCCACTTTAAGCAACAACAACAACAACAGCGACAACAACAGCGACAACAACAGCGACAACAACAGCGACAACACGAGCCGAGCACACGTTTTTTCGTCCAAAAGTTAGAAACTCTGCTGACTGGCTGGCTCTTGCGCCTCTTCCTTTGCTTGAAAAGGGGACCGGTACCTGCCTACCGACCTACATATCCACAATACAATACAAAAAGTCCTTCGCGCGCGCGGTCCCCCCTCTCCCCCCCACTGACCACATGGAGAAGAGATAGGCAGCATTCTACGGGACGATCAGATAGAAAAGCACGTCACGCCGCTGAAGTATCGGGAAAACGCAACGCAACCCAACCCAACCCAACGCAACCCACCCAACCGTGCCCATGCTAAACCCCCCCCCTCCCCCCCCGCTCCCGCCCCCACATGCCGTTCTTCGCACAACAGAATACGGTTATCAAAGAACTAAAATCAATAAAGTGATAGAAAAAAAAAATTAGAAATATTACCACCCAACCAACCAACCAACCCTGTATCGTCTACACCAAAAGAAGAAGTCCTCCGCATGTACATCACTTCGCAATGCAGATTAAACAAAACAGAGAGAGAGGAAGAAAAAAAAAAAAAAAGAGGGACAAGCTCGCCTCCCATACCCCATACCGTACAATACCCATTTTGATTGCCGCCCCTTTTCTAGTGTTTTTTCCCCCCCAGCCGCACCGAACGGATGCGCCTATGCGCCTATGCGCCTCAGTATTGCTGGCTGCTGGACATGGACGGGCCGGTGTGGAAATGGACATCGCCGCCATCGCCGTTGCTGCTGAAGAGCGGGCTGTCCTCGACGCAGCCCTGGACGTCGTCCAGCCGGTAGAGCTGGTGCATGTCGTCGTAAGGGCTGCTCTCCTGCTCCACCTTCATCCCCCCGAAGAAGTATGGGGATGTAGTCGCCGCCGCCGCCGATGGGGCGAAGAAATCCACCGCGCTGGGTGGCGTCAGGGGCGATCGTTGACGCTGCTGCTGCGAGCTTTGGATGATGTGGGATGGCGAGTCATGCTGCTGCTGTTGGTACTGAGGGCGGCGCATCCTCATGCTGTCGCCGCGCTGGCTTGAGCGCGAGAAGTCTCGTCGCTGATCGTCCTTGGCACGTTGCTGGCGCTGCTGCTGCTGCTGCTGCTTGGCCTGCTTGGTGGAGATGCCGCCTCTGCGGCCGGAGACGACACGCGCGAGCGACGGCGTTTCGTTCCGGGAGGACTTCTTGCTGCTGGTGCCCTTGCGGTACCGGGTCGTGGACTGCACGCCGTCTCGGATGGCGAACTCCTCGAGGACCCATTCCGTGGACTTCTTGCTGTCGTTGTCGGGGGTTTTGCGCTCGGTTTTCTTGAATGCCTATCGGTTGTACCCGTGTTAGTTTCTGTTTGGGAACTTGTGCAAAGGAAGGGTGGTGGGTGGTTAAGACAGACATACAGCGTTCATGGACAGGTTGTGGCGGATGCTGTTCATCCATCCTTTGCTGCACGTACCGCCCTTCTGCGTGTTGTCCCGGAACCACTGGTAGATCTCCTGCAGAACCATGGATTTGCTCGGCACGCTCATCAGGGCGCGGTGGATGAGCTTCGCGTAAGGCTCCTCGGGGTTCTGTTCGCAGAAGTCGTTGTGATCCTCCACGTCCGCGGCCGTCATCTCACGCGAGGTGTTGCCCTCGTCCGAAGTCTCGCTTGGAGGCAGGCTGAAGGGAGGCGCCGTCTCGAAAGACGAGAAGTCGAGTTGGGACTCATCAAGCTCCTCCATCTTGGGCACGGGACTGTGGGAGATGCTCATTCGTTGGAAGTCGCGGGCATTGTTCATGTGCTGGTTGTCGAAGGGGGAGGTCATGACTGGAGAGTGCTGCATGGCGCTCCGCTTAGAGTCGAGGATGTAGGCGGAGGGCGCTGCGTAGCTCTCGTCGAGAGCCATGGCGTTGTCGTTGTCGCTGAGACCGTACATGTTTGGTATGTAGCGAGGCTGCTGGTACGCTGGGCCTCGGGAGAAGTTGCCGTGGTGCCCGTTGAGGGGGAGGTTTGAGGCTGAGTACCCGGGGTAGAAGCTGTTATTTTGATCCTGGAAACCTCCAGGGCTCTGCATCGCGTCCGTCCAGGAAACGGAAGTTTGAGACATGGGGATCGGCTGGAGAAGGTTGCTGTAGGTGGATAGAATGTTGGAGGAGGAGGAAGGGCTATTCATGAGATGTTGGGATGAGGCTCGAGGGAGGCCGTCGAAGGAGAAGTTAGATTGAGAAGCTTGGGCTGAGGTATCCAAATCACTGTCATAGTCGCCATACTGAAATTCGTCGGCAAGCAAGCCAGCCATCTGAGGCCGATGGTGATATTGGCCTGTATTCATATTCATGGCATCCATAACAAGAAAGCGCTCCCGGGCTTGTGGTCTGTGGCGGGAATGGTGGTGAGTTGGTGCTGCCCTTCAAAGGGATGGATTGCTCTGCGGTTATTGTAGGACAAGTGAGACAGAGATGTCCGAGTCGGAGATTTGTTTCGAAGAATAGGGAAAGGGTAGCAAAGGATATCGGAGGTAGATATCAAAATGGAAAGTCTGGAGACCCGGCTCATGGCAGGACAAGGCCATACATCCATGCAGGATAGCGCTGACAGCACATTGGTACAAGCTCCTGATCTGTGATGCAAGTCCCGTTTGCAACGGCAGGTCACATAAGGGGAGAAGCAATAGAATGGATATGCCTACCTACCGTGCAGTTGAGAGGAAAGGCTCTAGAAGCAATCGCTTGCTGTCAAGACAGATTTAGATTCAATACAAGAAGTACCTGAAGATTCTACGTCTAGCTAACAGGAGGAGAAGAGGAAGAAGAAGAAGAAGAAGAAGAAGAAGAAGAAGAAGAAGAAGAAGAAGAAGAAGAAGAAGAAGAAGAAGAAGAAGAAGAAGAAGAAGAAGAAGAAGAAGAAGAAGAAGAACAGCTTCTCTTCCCGAAGATTTGGAAGCCACCCGGAGAAAAGCGGTACGTGAACCAACTGTTACTTAGCGAACTTCCGCCGCCTGCACTTTCGAAGCCTCCCATGCCCGTTTGGGTACCTTCTAGCTTCTGCTTCTAGAAGTACGGGAGAAGTGAGTGCTGCCCTCACCCTACCCGGAGCCGGAGGCCAGGGAAACTATCATCTCCGCGTATCCTTGCCTGCCCTGGTGATTGGATGCAGTGGAGTAAGGAATGCCGGTAGCAGGCGAGTGGGAGATTCCGAACCAACAGATTTGGTGTATGCAACGGCAAGCCGTCTTGAGCCACATCTTGAGCTACACCGGGGATAGATGCGGCCACCTTGGCTTGCATGAATGATGAATGGCAAGGAGCCTTACCCCAAAGTAGAGTAAAGTGAAGCAAAGCCAGCGCAAGAGGATGACAACGGCTGAGGTGACTGACTTACGGTACTGGATGTTGCCGCCTTGTAGCTAGCTCTCTACTGCCATGCTGCGCACCGGGGCGTGGATGGAAGGCACTTACAGCGGGATAACGGCTGTGACATGGGGGTTGTGCAACATGGCACATGCGTTCTTCTGGGCTAGGGATTCAGTGAGAAGCTGCAATTTCTGATCCTAGTGGGCTTCTACTTCCCAGACCGAGTGCAAGATTCCCTTCGCAAGTTTTCCATCCTCCACAATCACTTTCGGTAGTAAACCTACGTGACAGGTCAGCAAACGGACAACAGTCACCGGCACATGATTCATGCTCACCTTCTTGTACTGGAAGTGTAGTTGAAGAATGCCCTATGCGGGAGATCAGCTTTCAGGGTCCAGGGCAGGCGCAGCAGGGGGCTTGTCGGGGAAGCAGGGAGCGTATGACGCGCGCCTGAAGGCTGTTTGCGCAGGGATAAATAAGCAAGAGTAAGTAAGCAAGTTTACTTACCTTATCAAAGCTAGAGCGGAAACCACGGTCCCTCTTTGCACTGAAGTCCCACTCTCGGTCGATGATCCTAAACGCAATGTCCTCGTAGGGCGGTCCGGCAATGAATCGAATGAGACAGGTATCTTCCTCACCAGCTGGAGCGAAGGATTCTCCCCTTTTCCGGCCGTGCTCTCGGAAGATCTTGAAAGTTGGAGCTTTGGCCTTGTCGATGAGGTCCGGGTAGAAGATGTTGAATTTGTATCCCTGAACAACTTTCGGTGGCGGATTGTCGTGGTCGTAGTGAGTTTGATTGTATTTGTTCCATTCGTACCCCATCTGCACACGGTTGAAATATCGAGGTTTTCTTGGTCGGTATTTGTCTGCCCACAGTGGCTTCGCAGTCGTTGCGACGGACTCTTCTCCCGTGAAGATTTCTTCGTCCTCGTCAACGCCTCGAGCAACTTCTCTCTCGTACAAGGCCTTTGTGGCTTGGGAGAAGTCATCATTGACAGCGGTCGAGAATCGTTGTGTACCTGGAGGATGGATTCCGACGGTCGCGGTACTACTGATTGCTTTGCTGCTTGAGCTTGCACCTTTTTCAGTAGTTGCTTGCCTCAACGGAACATAACCAAGCTTCAGTACTTTGCGGCGTTCCGCGACAATCTTTTGCAGGAACACCGACTCGTCTAGAACCTCACTCGACTTGTCTTCCGAGTGGAGTTTCAAGAGGGGCTCCGGATCATACATTTGAGAATACGAGAAGGGTGGTTGTCGTCGGACAACATGTAAGACATCCGTGCTTGGTTCTGGATCTCCGGTACTTTCTTCGACGACAGCAATGGGGCCCGCCAGAAGCTGCTGCATCTTGGTACGCACGCCCTCCGCATCCTCTTGTTGTTCCTTGCGCAGCTTCTCCAGGCGGCTGTCGAGGACTGATTGGTAGACCTTTTTGAGTTTCGCCTTGGCTTTCCAGATGAGGAGGCTGCGCAACAACTGCTCCCAGTAGTCCGTATCAATAGGCTCGTTTGACCGCAACTTTGCTCTGATCTGTATCTCCAACGCCTCCAGCTGCTCATATGTCTTGGGTCCCAAAAGTTTGTCGACGTCGGATGCGACAGAACCGACCGCACGTTCTTCTGGCGCAAGTGGCTTCAGTTTTTGGCGACGGTCATTTCCGATGATCTGCATAGTCTTCCAGTAATCAAGGTTCTTTTTGTTCGTCTCCAAGGCCAGGTACGAGGCAATATCTTTATCCAATTCTCCCAGTTGCGCATCGTTGAGACCTTCGAACACTCCCTCCGGATCGACCACGTCATGCTCAACCTCCTCCTCATCGTCGTCCAGCAAATCGCGGTCCGGGTCAATAACTCGTAGGATGACAGCCAGCCAGTCGATGGGTTTCGCTCGTCCTTCGCGCACCCGAATATCGGCCTTCTTCTTTGCCTGCTTCAATACGAAGCTGTCCTCTTCCGAAACCCACTTCCGCGTCTGCTCATCCTCGAGAGAATTCTGATTCTGGGTGTTCCGCTGGCGATGGTCTGGAGCCCTGGTTCCTGCGCCTGGCGGTCGGGGGGGCTTCGATACGCGGCTGCTTTGATCTCGACGCGGTGATGTGATGTCCCTCGCCGGCAGGTCGGGGGCGGCCATCATTGCTTTCCGTGCGGGATTCATGGTCCTATTTATTTGTAGTAGTAGTTGTGGAGACGGAGTCAGTGTGGAGTTAATATGGAGTTGGAGTTGGAGTTGGGGGTTGGATTGAATTAAGTTGGGCAATTATCCTTGTGAATGTAGTAGACCTTGATCTTATCGGAGCGCGCTGCTGCTAGCGCCTACACGTCGGCGAATCATGTCACGTCCGTCACCTCGGTACCGCGGCGAAACAACCAAAGCGAGGCGATCTCGACGATCTTGAAAACTTCTTCCCATTCGCCCATCTCCAACCATCCCCCTCGCAACATTGAAGTCGTCGCACCTTTAAATCCTTATTGTTGTCGCCGTCGTCGAATCCTTGCGACAGTGACGCCCTTCCACTCGAAGTGTCGCATGCGAAGAACCTGCGACTCCACAATATGGCAATCCTCAACGCCGTTCCTGGCCTCGAGGTCACCATTCAGTCGTTCGACGAGGTCTTGCCAGAGTACCAAGATGACGGAGACTGGACCCAAAGCAGGTTTGCGCACATCCCCAAGGCTTCCCGATCGCAAAAGTACGTGGAGTGCCAGACAGACGCCGAATTCCGCATCAGACTCACCCTGAAGCACCCCTATAAGATGAACAGCCAGAGCCTGGTGTTCAAGGCCAATGTCGATGGTCACGGAATCGCTCAAGCTACGTGTACAGATGCCTGGTTTGCACGTTGCAGCGGCCATTATATGGAACTTATTACAGCAAGACTGGACCGGATCAGTCCGACCCAGCTGTCTAGCAGAGCGTTGAAGTTCAGCAGCATCAAGAAAGGTTGGATGGACCTCACTTACACGTCTGACAAAGCCTAGCTTACCCTTTCAATAGTTGACGACGCTGATTCCACCCGAGTCAAGAACGACGCGAAGGCTCTGGCTGGGATTGGTGAAATCGTTGTGTCTGTCTTTCGGGCCCAGCAAAAAGAAGAACACGTCCAACCGGCAGCACACTACACTTTGTCGCAACACAAACCTCCCACCGAAGTCGCAGAGAAAGCTTTAAAGGGCAAGGCTATCTCACACGGTGTGACGTTCGGCGAACAGCAAATCGTTACTCGTACGAGCAAAGACACCTACGATCTGGATGGACCGAATAATCCCATAGGAGTTTTCGTGTTCAAGTACCGCTCTCGAGGTAGGGCAACACAACACTCAGGGAGGGATCGAGCTAAATTTTTGCAGAGGACCTCCAATCTGAGCTGATCATCCCACGATCACCCTCTCCCAACCCAGGACCTGCACCACTCCAGCCTCGAGGTAGAAATAGCGGGAATGAGCCTGACAGCAGGGCTGCTCGGTTGGCGAGTCTCAAGGTAGGATTCGATCCCAGTTATTAAATTTGTACGCTGCTGAAAAGAAACCCCCTAGAAAGAGATTGAGCAAATCAAAGCCGAGGAAGAGGACGTCCCACCCCTTCGCCCAAAACGAAAATCCCACTCTGAAGCCAGCGGCAGCAGACGACCCTTCAAGATCTCCCGTGGACCCAGCGGTAAAGTCGTCATCGACCTTACCGATGACTGATGTGTCACTTTTTCCCCATCCCTCTTATGAGGCTGGCTTCTTCCTACTAACGTAGGCTCTGGCCCCTGTGGGCGCAGCATTTTCTTCTCATTTGCTCCTATTACCTTTTTGAGCATGGCGCTATGGGGATATGTGAGGGGAATTTTCTCATACGACCTGACGAACGGACGACACGGCTTTCATCTTCTTTTCATACGATACCCAACATTTACTTTCACTCTTGCACGTCTCACTCACGACTATGACGATAAAAAGAAAGAGGCACATTTGTTTGCTTTTCAATATTATTACCATCATCATCATCACCATTCTCTCTCTCTCTCTCTTTTCTTTTGTTTTCTTTTCTCGCCCTTTCTCGCTCTTTTAAACCGTGAAAGTTCTACGATCGCATAAACGAGAGGTACAAGTAAAGTGAGTGAGTGATCATTACAGTTGCATCATCGCAAGACAAGCAATACAATACAATACAAAACAATACAATACAAGCAATTCAAGCCCTCAAGAAGAAGAAAAAACTTCTTCCTCAAATCCCATTCCCCATTCTAGATTTCAAATATATATAGTATATATATATATATATATATATATATTTATCAATTTCAAAAAAAGTTCAATAAATCACTAGGTAGCAAATAATGCTTTCCTCTCCACTTTCCTTTCCTTTCCTCTCCTTTCCTTTCCTTTACTCATCCCTTCTTCTTATTCTTACCTTCCTCTTCTTATTCTCTCCTTTCCTTTCCAATGTCCTGGTACCCTTACCTCCCCCCTCACCCCCCCTTCCGCCCTCCCCCACATAACCAACCAATCCTACACCCCCCTCTACCATACTTGCTTGCTGCTCACAAGTTCGATTTTATCTTTTAAAAAAGGGAGACGACACAAACCAACCCCCCCCACCCCCCCCCTCCCTCAAAAAAAGGTAAAAAATAAGTTGCAATATTCTCTATAGAAGCGAAGCGCAGCGAGAACCCCAAGTAAACGCGAGACACAACAAACACACAAATAAACACAGAACGCCCGGAATCTATCCCTGAGCGACAGGAAGGGGTATCGTCTCTCGCGTATCGTATCGGATCATGTAGTCGTGACATCGTTAATTTATTTCCCTCTGGCCTTGCTTCCTATCCTATTTCGTATTCTCTCCGATTTCCTCTCCGCTCCGATCTCCTCTACCCGATACATTGCGTGAACATGTGCACCTCTTCCCACCCTCGGCAACTACCGTCCACCACTTCCAGGTTCCCCGGCCCGCACCGTCAGTTACCAGGAATCATGCACTGGCTCGTCTGGCACTGACCCGGGTGCTTCCGCGCCGTCAGCGGCTGCGGGATGATGCCCGCGCGCGTCAGGTCCCGAAAGTTCCACTCGGGCGCGCTCTCCGTCTTCCAGGCCCAGAAGATCCAGCCGGCGTGCTGCTCGTACGCATCCAGCTGCGCCTCGATGTAATACTCCATGTTGACCTTATCGACGGCGAGCAGCCCTTCAACCGTACCTGCGTACTTCGTCTGGCAGTCCCCGAAATAGCCCTCGCTTCCCGCTAGCGTGCCGTCGTAGCGGGCGCCCTTGCCCAGCCCGTTGAGCCACTTGGCACAGTCCGTCTGGGCACCCGTCCACTCACCAACGATAGTCCACTTGTCGGTGCCCTTGATCTTGGGACCAGCCGCACACGCTGTCTGCACGTGCTGGCAGGGCTTCATGGCGACCTCGGCGGCGGAGAAGATCTGGTAGATGTGCGTGTCGAGGATGACGTTGTTGACGCCGCTCTGGTAGTTCATGAACCCGTTCCAGTACGACTGCACGTCGAGGAAGGCGTCGTGAATCACGACGGCCGTGTCGGCGTTCTTGTCGCGGACCATGCCCCAGCCGTCGTAGTAGAACTGCTTGACTTGCGACATGTCGTTTGCCCAGCTGGCGGGCTCGTTGAGGAGCTCAATGGCCGTGACGACGTCGGTGAACTTTGCGTACCGCTCGGCAAGGACGCCGATCGCTTGTTTGGTGTTGGCGACATTGTTTCCGGACTGCCAGCTAATAGGGCCGAACTTGCCGCTGTTGTCGAAGCCGTTTTGGGAGCCGGGTGCTGGAGATGGTCAGCCGAGCATCGTCATCGTCATCTTGATAGGGATTTGAGTTCTTACCCCCGTGCAAATCAAGCATGATCTTCAGCCCGTGGTTCCTCGCCCACCCAATCGCCTTATCCAAGTACGGAAGCTGTCCTGAAACATACGGATCCCCCGCAAGTGGGTTGAGTGCCCAGTACCCAATGGGAATGCGGACATGGTTCAAGCCAAACGAGGCAATCTCGGCAAAATCGGCTTCCGTCACCCACGTCGCCCAGTGCTGGTTCAGTCGCCTCTCGGCCTCCGTCTTGCCTAGTGCCGCTGTGTATGTGTACTCGTCAACGACACCGCCGCCATCCTTCCACTGATCAAAGATGGAGGGCGTGATCCAGGGCTCGAGCACGAACCAGCCACCCAGGTTCACGCCGCGAACCTTGTCGTCGTTGTAATTGAAGGCGAGGGCTCGCTCGCGTCTGAAGTGGTGTCAGGGATCGTGGAGGGAGGGGACCGTTCCTTCCTCAATGGGAAGAGAGACGTGTAACGTACAGTGGCTTGGCTACAGTCAGGAGGGCGAGACAGGCAGCCGAGAGAGCGAGAGCTCTGAAAAGTACCATGGTTGGTTACAGGTATCGGGTATCGGAGGGAGAGGGTGATCCGTAGGAGAGATGAAGGGAGGGAAAGAGAAAGAGAGAGGTGGGAGAGGTGTGGGAGAAAGAGAGAAAGAGAGAGAGATGGGAGAGACTGGAGAAATGGGGTAGCTCGGTGATGGGTGACTTGCAAGTCGCCGGGCACCCTGCTACTTAAGTATTCCTAGGTACCAGACCAGGCCAGACCACAGCAAGAAAAGGAATGTGGGTGATTGATAGCCCCAGAGTGAGACCTTTCCCCGCAAAAGATGGCAGCTCACCGACGGGCCGGGGGCTAGATGAGCTGTACAGTACAGTACAGTACAGTACAGTACAGTACCGTACAGTACATACATTCTCCGCTGATCGTCCCGTATAGCCTGGTGTGAGACTTGACTCTGGGGATGGATGGATGCACTATACTCTGCAAACGACTTACGAGGGTCTGCGCTTGGCGGTCTGACTGACCGCGGAGCCGGCAGGGCGAATAATATATTCTCGCGGGCCGGCTCATTGGCTGTGCTGAGGATAGAGAGGCGAGAGAGACGAGAGAGACAACAGACTCGGTTTGTATATTGATGTCCGTGATGAACTGTAGAGATGAGGTAAGCTTGCTGGTGTTGATTGCTTTTGATTTGCATGTCTGACTGGCTGGCTGACTGACTGGCTGGCTGACTGACTGACTTACTATTCGTTGATCAAATGGCCTTGTGTGACTCGCGACCAAAGAGCAAGCCACCAAGATCCGGGTCCCGGCCCGCTATGCCCACAGCCGAGGATGTGGATGTGGATGTGGATGTGGATGGCGGCGTCCTCAAATAAAGCCAAAGTTCTGCATCATCTCAGCTGCAATAGCACAGAAGAAGGGTGAGATGGTGAGGCTTAAGGGTTAAGCTTATCTGAGCTTAAGCTTCGGCTGGCAGACAACCACGATCCACCACACTGTGACTGTCTGTGCCCAGTGTCACGACTCAATGTCCAGCACACGTGATCCCTCCTTTCGTAAGCAATCAACACGTGCAGCGTAGCATGGAATGATGAATGCTCTCAAGAAAATAAATAACACCCGCATCTAGCTTGCGTCTTCAACTCCCCTCTCCTTGCCCTGCCCCCTTCTCTTCCATTCCCTTTCCCTTCTTCTCTGCTTCGGTCCGCTGTCGGATAGCCAATGCTTCCAGGAACGGCATGGGAACCATGGTCGAGGAGAATTCGACGACTGACGGCGTGGACTGACTGTCAGCAAGTCATAGGTAATGAATGAGGCAAGAAAAAAGAAAAGAAAAAG